GAAGGAAGGAAGGAAGGAAGGAAGGAAGGAAGGAAGGAAGGAAGGAAACCAGACGCATGCAGTGGTTCACACCTGTAATCCCAGTGCTTTGACTCTGGGACTGTACCCTACCTCCTGCCTCCAGAGGCAGGAGGATCACTTGAGGCCAGGAGTTCAAGCCTTGCCTGACCACACAGTGAGATCCTCGTCTCTAACAAAAAAGAAAAAGAAAAGAAACCATTCCACTGTCAGACATCTAGGAAGTTGCTTCAATCTTCTACTATTGCAAATAGAAGAGCAAGAATAACTGGCTGCAAAGTAATTGGAAATTATATTTGTTTTTTGGTTGTTTTTTTTTTGAAACAGTTGCCTAGGCTGGAGTGCAGTGGCGTGATCTCAGCTTACTACAACCTCTGCCTCCTGGGTTCAAGTGATTCTCCTGCCTCAACCTTCCAAGTAGCTACCACACCCAGCTAATATTTAGCTATGTTGCCCAGCTGGTCTTGAACTCCTGGGCTCAAGTGATCCACCCACCTTGGCCTCCCAAAGTGCTGGGATTACAGGCATGAGCCACCGCCCCTAGCCTACATTTTTTTCATTCTAGAAAATAGACAGAAATGGGCCAGGCACGGTGGCTCAAGCCTGTAATCCCAGCACTTTGGGAGTCTGAGATGGATGTTCACCTGTCAGGAGTTCAAGACCAGCCTGACCAACATGACGAAACCCCGTCTCTACTAAAAATACAAAAATTAGCTGGGCATGGGACGGGTGCCTGTAATCCCAGCTACTTGGGAGGCTGAGTGAAACTCCATCCAAAAAAAAAAAAAAGGCAACACTTAGAAGACTTTGATTGCAGCAGTCATGGACTGATTCTCACCATCTTCCAGGTACAGCGCCGAAGGATCTCTGTGTTTCACCCCAGGGGCTCCCCAGAGCAAGGCTATTTTTATGAGTGAGGAAGCCAAGGTGTAGAAAGGCTAAGCCACCTGCCCAGGGCATTTTGAATGGGCCAGCCTCAGGACCAAGCACTTTCCATTCACAGAGCATCTATTTTTCTGGACAGCCCTGTGAAACACGTATCACTACCCTTATTTTGCAGGTGAAGAAACTGAGAACCGAATCTGAAAAATAAAACGATTGAGAGATTTGGCCAGACTCATACAACCAGTAAGTGCTAGAGATGAGATGCAAAGTCAAGTCTGTCTAAGGTCCAAAGGCCAAAGCTAAAGACCTCTTAGGTTGGCCGGACACAGTGGCTCACGCCTGTAATACCCCAGCACTTTGGGAGGCCAAGACAGGCAGATCATTTGAGGTCAGATGTTCGAGACCAGCCTGGCCAACATGGTAAAACCCCGTCCGTCTATGCTAAAAATTCAAAAGTTAGCTGGGTGTGGTGGCACATGACTGTAATCTCAGCTACTCAGGTGGCTGAGCCACGAGAATCATTTGTACCTGGTAGGTGAAGGCTGCAGTGAGCCGAGATCCTGCCACTGCACTCCAGCCTGGATAACAAATTGAGACCCTGTCCCAAAAACAAATAGACAGATAGATAGCTATGCTGGGTTTAGCGGCTCACACCTATAATCCTAGCATTTTGAGAGGCCAAGGCAGGTAGATTGCTTGAGCTCAGGAGTTTGAAACCAGCTTGGGCAACATAGCAAAACTCTGTCTCTATTTTTTAAAAATTAAACAATTAAAATAAAAAGCTAAAGGGAATAGGGACTCCTCTCCTTATCTTATACCTCATATCCAATCTATCTGCAAATTCTGCTATTTCTACCTTCAAAATGGACTCAGCCATCTGACATCCAGATCCTGGCTTCTAAATACCACTCGGCCGGGCGCGGTGGCTCACACCTGTAATCCCAAAACTTTGGGAGGCTGAGGCAGGTGGATCACTGAGGTCAGGAATTTGAAACCAGCCTGACCAACATAGTGAAACCCCATCTCTACTTTAAAAATACAAAAATTAGCCGAGTGTGGTGGCAGACACTTGTAATCCCAGCTACTTGGGAGGCTGAGGCAGAAGAATCCCTTGAATTCAGGAGGTAGAAGTTGCAGTGAGCTGAGATCACACCATTGCACTCCAGCATGGGCAACAAAGCAAGATTCTGTCTCGATAAAGAAAGAAACGGCATGTCTCTATTTTTTCCCCTTGAAGGAACAAGGGTTCCTTGGGAAGTGGCTGATTCCATGGTTGGGCCAGGGAGGGGAAAAAAAAGGGGGGGAGATTATTTTTTTTTTTTTTTTTTTTTTTTTTTTTTGAGAGGGGGTCTCACTCTGTCTCACAGGCTGGAGTGCAGTGGCACAATCTCAGCTCACTGCAACCTCCTGCTCCTGGATTCCAGCAATTCTCCTGCCCCAGTTTCCTGAGTAGCTGGGATTATAGGCACGTACCACCACGCCGGGCTAATTTTTTGTATTTTTAATTGAGACAGGGTTTCACCATGTTGGCCAGACTGGTCTTGAACTCCTGAGCTCAAGTGATCCATCCTCCTCGACCTCCCAGAGTGCTGGGATTACAGGCGTGAGCCACCATGCCCAGCCTACTTTTAAAATTTTTCATACAGATGGGGTTTTGCTTTGTTGCCCAGACTGATTTCAAACTCCTAGGCTCAAGTGAACCTCCCACTAGGCTCAAATGAACCTCCTACCTCAGCCTCCCAAAGTGCTGGGATTACAGGTGTGAGCCATCGCGCCCAGCTGGCCACCCGATTTAAATCGCACCCCCTCCCTCTGGACTGTAACCCCTCTCCTTGTTTTCTCTCCATGGCACTTCTCGTCTTCTAACTCACCATTGTAATGGACCTTCTTATTTTGCGTCTGTCGCTCTCCCCACGCTGGAATGCCAGCGCCGTGGCCTCATGGCTATGCGTGTGTGCTTACACAGG